AACCATTTAAGAAATATGTTTGATGTTTTAAAGAAAGTCACACCAGTGAACTGGTGGAAGTCACTTAAGCACTTGGATTCAGAGACTGTTGAAGTGATAATCTCACTTTTAACGGCAGTAGCTTCTTCTGACAGTGTAGAAAGAATATTTTCTTCCTTTGGACTAATTCATTCCAAACTGAGAAATCATTTGGGACCTGAAAAAGCAGGAAAGCTTGTTTGTTCATAATCTGGAAAAGAAAAACTGGAAAATGAAGGTGAAGTGAGTTAGCTGCAGAAGCCAATATTTTAAGTTTTTCATATTGAGCTGGTTGACATAGTCGATTTAATTTGTTTTTCATTTAGCTATTTTAGTTAAAAACAAACCTGATTTTAAAAAACTTGAATGTTTAACTAAATTCAAAAATTCATGTGCCTGTTTTGTTAAAATATAATGTTTGCTGTTGAAGAAAATAATCCAGAATACATAACGTTGTTATAGTTAAATAAAACAATTTTAAATGTCTGTCTGGTGGTGGTCTCCTCCTAATACAGCATGGCAAGAAAATCCTCCAAATATTAATGATTAACCTGTTGAATTGGAGCTAGTTCACCTCCCAGTGACTTCATAAATATCTGCTTCAATTACCTTTGGTAAATGAAATAACCAAACAGTCATTCATTTTCTGATATAGCTGTAAAACTAATCTGAAAAGTTTTCAAAATAAATCACTTAAAAAATATATAGCGTATACCTTCTAAAAATGAAACCTACATCTATCTCTGAGTTGTGAAGAATATGTACAGTAACTCCTCACTTAAAGTTGTCATGTTAACGTTGTTACGTTGCTGATCAATTCAGGAACATGCTTGTTTTAAAGTGGTGCAATGCTTCCTTCTAACGTCTTTGGCAGCCGCCTGCTTTGTCTACTGCTTGCAGGAAGAGCAGCCTGTTGCAGCTAGCTGGTGGGGGCTTGGAACCAGGATGGACCGGCAGCCCCCCTATCAGCTCCCCCTATCAGCCCCCCGCTCCCCTAAGTTCCCTGTGCAGCAGCTGCCTGCAGTTCAGCTGTTCTCCCCCCCGCCGCCGTGTGCTGCTCCTGCCCTCTGCCTTGGAGCTGCTCCCTGAGACTCCTGCTTGCTGTGCGGGGGAGGGGGGGAAGGAAGAGGGGGGCTAATGTCAGGGTGTCCCCCTCCCTCCTGCACCCCGCTTACCCCATCTTCCATAAAGCAGGGGGGACACACCAGGGCTCAGGACAGAGGGAGCTTGCAGCAGCTGCCATCTCAGCAAGCTGATCTAATTAACAAGGCAGTGTACTTAAAGGGGAAATGCGCATATCTCTTTCACACCTCCCCCCCCTCCCTCCATTCCTGCTGCCTTGTAGAGTGAGAGAGTTAACCAATTGCTAGTTCATCATTTAGCAGTAAGGGAAATATCCCACCCTCTGACTCCTCCACCTCAACCAAGCTTCACAATCATCATCACTGTGTACCAGTATTAAATTGTTTGTTTAAAACTTATACTCTCTGTGTGTGTGTGTGTGTGTGTGTGTGTGTGTGTGTGTCTATAGAGAGAGAGAGAGAGAGAGAGAGAGAGAGACACACACACCCCCCCCCCCGTCCCCTTTGTCTGATGGGAAGAAAAATTCCCTGGAACCTCACCCCCTCATTTACATTAATTCTTATGGGGAAATTGGATTCACTTAACATCGTTTTGCTTAAAGTCGCATTTCCCAGGAACATAACTACAACGTTAAGTGCGGAGTTACTGTATTAAGGTTATAACAACCAACAAGAATGCACTTTTATATAGAAATCCATGATTAAATCAAGTCTTCCTGACTAGTGATTTAAATCATTATTTAAATCAAATCCACCCTGCCTTGCATACAATTCAAGTCAAACTAACAGGCCTGTAGTTTCCCGGATCACTTTTACCCTTTCTTATAAGTAGGAACTGTATTAGCAATTTTCCAGTCATAGGATATAACCCCCAAGCTTACAAATTTATTAAAAACTCTTGCTATTTGGGCTTGCAATTTCACGTGCTAGTTCCTTTAATATTCTTGGATGGAGATTATCTGGGTCCCCAGATTTAGTCCCACTAAACTGTTTGAGTTTGACTTCCACCTTGGATGTGGTCATTTCTACTTCCATATACTCATTCCCATTAGCCACCCTGCCACTGCCCCTAAGCTATTCATTAGTCATATTAAAAAATGAGGCAAAGTATTTGTTTAGGTGTTGGGCCATGCCTATACAGTACTATCTTGAATCTCCACCCCATCCTCTATGCTTAGCGGTCCCCCTACTTTCCTTTTTTCATCTTATATGGTTATAGAACCTCTTACTACTGGTTTTAATTTCCTTTGCAAGGTCCAACTCTGCTTGGCTTTTGACAGTTCTCATTTTATACCTACACTTCCTGCCAAGAGGTAGCTTTCCTTGCTGATCCATCCCATCTTCCATTCCTTGTAGGCTTTCTCTTAATTACCTGTTTGAGATGCTTGCTCATCCAGCTTGGTCTGCAACTCTTCCCTACAAAATTTTCCCCCTTGCTTGGGATGCAGGCTTTGGATAGTTTCTGGAGCTTTGACTTAAGATAATTCCAAGCCTCCTCCACATTCAGATCCTTGAGGTTTTTCTGTCCAGTCCACTTCCCTAACTAATTCCTTCAATTTTATTTAAAGTTTGCCCTTTTGAAATCAAGGACTCTAGTTGCAGATCTGTTTTTGTTTACCCTTCCATTTAGTTTTTACTGGGTTAGCTCATGATCACTCGAACCAAGGTTGTCCCCTACACCCAGCTCTTCTATGAGGTCCTCACTATTTACCAATACCAAATCTAAAATGGCATCACTTCTTGTTCGTTCCGCAACTGTTTGGTGAATAAATCTGTCAGCTATCATATCCAGGAAACTCTGGGCCCTACTATAATTAGTAGCAATTGTCCTCCAATCTATATCTGGGAAGTTAACATGTCCCATAATCACACAATGCCTAGTCGTATTTATTTCACCAAAAACATTAGAGGTCTCTGTCTATATCCAAACTGGATCCTGGAGGTCTGTAGCATACCCTTAGTACTATCCCAGGGAAACCTCTAGTAGCTTTCTTCCCGAAGTGGTTTTGGCCAAAACAGATTCTGTCTTAGTCATTCCATCACTTCTAATTTCTTTACAGTCTACCTCATCATTAGCATACAATGCTATTCTACCACCTTTACCTTTATTTCTGTTTTTCCTGAACAACATTTACCCTTCGATACCTGTACTCCAGTCATTACTACTATTCCACCATGTTTCTGTTATCCCTATAATATCTGGTTTCACTTCCTGCACCTGTGGTTCTAGTTCTTCTATTTTGTTACCCAGGTTCCTTGCAATGGTGTTAAAACTTCTTAGTTATTTCTACTTATCTTTGCCCAGATTCCTCAGCCAAATGCGTAGTCATTCTACTTTCATTATCGTCTGACTGTTAGCTTCATTGGTATCAGCACTGTCTTTCCTCTTAATGTCCATTGTCCTACCTGCTGCTGTTCCTTTCTCCATTGCTGTATCCTTCCTTACTTGATTTTCCTCCTGCTCAATGTTCAAATCAGGCATGAAGATTACATGACTCCTCCAAGTTCCTATTTTAAACTCTTAATCAGTTGTGCTAGCATCCATCCCAGAAGTTTATTTCCCTCCCTGCACAGGTGGAGTCCATCCCAAGAGAACAGTCCTCTGTCCATGAATGCCTTCCAGTGGTCTCACATCCCAAAGTCCTCCTTATAGCACCACTGCCCGAACCATCTGTTGATCATCATCATCTTGTCTCCCCTTCGTTCTCCCACTCTAGGGACAGGTAGAATCCCACTGAAGATCATTTGAGCCTCCATTTCCCAGTCTGGCATAGCCTCCCTTGCTACAGCTAGATTCTCGCTGGAATGTATAATTTGTTTCCACATGAAGGACAATCAGTGGATTCTTTCCTGCTCCAATTAGGATCTTCTTCAACCTCAGGTCCACATCCCAAGTCTTAGCTTCTGGCAGACAGCACACCCTTCTGTTCTCCGGATCAGCTCTGGTGACAGGCCTTTCTGTTCTTAGTAGGAAGTCACCAATCACATAGACCTGACTTTTCCAGGTGATAGTGTGATTCTCTGGCCTTCCTCCCGTTTTTTCTGACTGCAAGTTCTCTTGTCTTTTCTCCTTTGCAATCTTCTGCGCGTCCTCCTGTATTCCTCCGGGGGCTCTGAACTCTGGGTGTCTTCATTGACTCTTCCCCTCTTTTTATAGGACTAGCTGCTCTTGGATAATAGATTTTTAGATGGTCCAGTTACAGAATTTTCTATAATTTTGATGTGCCATCCACACCTGTACAATGTAAAATTTAACTTTAGTGTTCACAGTTTCATCAGAACTTTAATTTGTGAGAGGCTGCATTCGTATTTTTCAGTGTATTTTGGAACCTGTACATTGGAAATAGAAATAATTGTGGGTTTTTTTCATAATACTTACCACTAAAGTTCTGTGGCTTTCTGTGTCTCTAAGAAGTTTTGCACATATATTGTTCCTTAGATTCTTCCTACTGTGGTAAGTTAACTTGCACTCTGGAACCTTCTTTCAAATTGCAGAAATGTTGTGCTTTTTTGCACTGAGTTTTAGGAGACTTGAAATAGAACAATATAAATAAAATATTCCGAACAGTAGAGCATGGGACGTTGTTTTGAATAACCCCAGTCAGGGACAGATTGAGGCCTAGCTTCAAAGAGGCTTACTCGGTATTGGAATTGAAGAGTAAAAATAACTACTCCTTTTTCAAAACATAGTTAATGTTAGTTATACAGCAAGCTGACATGCATTACCTTTATTTGCACTGTCTTGAAGATGACACTCAGGTCTACCTTGTTTTATATTAATGTAACGTTGCTTTCAGATTTGTGGTATACAATAATGCACTCATCTGGCAAGCTACAGTTATATTGCAACAACAAAATACTTAGTGTTCTAATAGTATCTTTTTTTCCTCCCTCAATCAGCCTTTTATTGCGGTTCACAGATGATACATTTGACCCAGAACTTGCAGCAACAATTGGTAAGTGTGTGCTAACACGACTTCATAAAAATTCAAACTAACTTAGGTAGAAGACTGACTTGCTGTGTTTGCACAACTGGTAATGAGGTTCAACCTTATCTGCTCTTCAGTAAGGCGGGAGGGGATGATCTTGGCTCAGTCATTAGCCTGGTCTACACTAGAAATGAAGTCAGTTTAACTATGTTGCTTGAGGGTGTAAAAAATCCACACCCCTAAGTGGCATAGTTAAGCTGACCTAGCCCCCACTGTAGACAATGCTAGGTTGACAGAAGACCTACCTACTGTCTGTTGGGGAGTTGGATTACCTACACACCAATGGGAGAATGCCTCCTGTCAGCATAGGTAGTGTCTACATTGAAGCACTATTGTGGCGCAGGTGTGCCGCTGAAGCCTTTTAGGTGTAGACATATGTATAGTGTACGGAGTTAAACACTACAGAAGTATAAACAGTAATTGGGTGCTGTTACACTTTGCACAAAATTAGTTCAGAATTGAGACAGTGTTGTCATGTGTGTATTCTGTATTCTTGAAGATGGAAGGTATAGACATGGACTGTCACTGAAGGAGACCTGCATCTGTTAGCACTACAACCACACTCATGGTGTTAGTGAATTTATTAGAGCCGTGTGCAAAAGATTCTTGCTAACCTTTGTGAGAAATCAGTAGAATCTCTCAAAAGTAATAGGAGATTGGAACTTAGTTTAATAGTAATAAGAGTACTGCACAGGATTCATGTAGAGTAGGTTGCATAGGTGGCCTGCTCCAGAGAAGCTCTACATTATACTGGGCACTGAACTCCTGTCTCCCAATCCTCCTCCTTCAAGGAACAGATGTCTGAATGGTAAGAAGTGGCTCCTTCCTTACCTACCCCAAAACAAGTATTAGCTCCTGGGCAAGTGGCCCAAGAGGAGAGGGGAGTGCCCAGATCTGCTAAAAAAAAAAAAAAACCTGTGTGCTGGGACAGTGTGAGTGATATGGGCAGCAGTAAGGGCCCAGAATTAATTGAAATGTATTTAGGAGGGAGAGACAGACCCCCAGAATGGGAGGGGTGCTGGTGTGGATATTGAAGTTTGTGAAAGGCAGTAAAATGCCTAAAACCCGTCCTGCTATTATGTGATATATCATATAACCGTAATCCAAGCTGAGCAAATTAAGGTAACTTTCCTGTACAAGATATTCTAATTCTAACACTAGACTTACTGCAATGGGGGTTCTAACTAAAGACCTGGAAGAGAGCAAGTAATTTTCCTTAAACGCTTGATCAGTCGAGGTGGCTACTGAGAGAGAAACACTAATGTAAAGCCAAAAATAACTGTATAATTGTCTAATGTATTTGACTAGCTGAATTAAATATTGGGGGGTGAGTAGGAAACTATTTAATTGAATTATTGTTTAGGGATAGCCATGTTTTAATTCCAACTCCTAATGCAGAAAAAATAGGTATTGCAGAAATACTAACACTTGATTTCTTTTGGATGTCCCGACTACTAATTTGGGCAACTGAGACTTGTTGACAAGGCATTGCTTGATACCATCTCTTCAATCTACCTTCTCTTAATGGCTTGTGGAGTGAGAAAGAGACATACCTTTCTTTTCAGTGATATCCCCTGGCAATAGCTGCCATCTCTAGCATAAACTATTGTTAGGTTAAGGTTGCAAGCCAATTACATACATAAAGATTGTAGCAAAAATAAATGCATAAGGAGGCAGAATTAAGGTTCTATGGATGACCTTTCTTGTCACTTCCTAACTTCTGAATGCCTTTTAACCTTAAAGTCTGTTAAAGTGGAATATTAATGTTAGATTAGCACACAGAGACCCGGATAAGAAGTGGGGCCTTTATTGTGCTAAATGCCATCAAATATGGGAAGATACAGATTACTCTTTTGAGCTAGGACCAGCTGGTGAGTTTCTTTTTTACTCACAGCTTGTCTACCGGCTGGATCGATGGGCAGCAATCGATCCAGCGGGGGTCGATTTATTGTGTCTAGTATAGATGCAATAAATCAACTGCCAATTGCTCTAGCTTCTACTCTGGTACGCCACCTCGACGAGAAGCGCAAGGGGAATTGACGGGAAAGTGTCTCCCGTCGACACACTGCAGTAAGTAGATCTAAGTACGTCAACTTCGGCTACGTTATTTGCGTAGTTGAAGTTGCATAACTTAGATCGATTCCTCCCCGCCCCCGGTAGTGTAGACCAGCCCAAAGAAAACTTTAATTTTTAAAGAAGTTTTCCTACCATCTGACTTGACATGTCTGATCAGCACTGCAGTATTATGGACAATCATCAGTATGGTGACAAAAATGTCAATGCTTTGTCAGCTCACTTGCTTTCAGGTGGGTATTGAGTATAAATATATTTCCACATCAACAAGAACTGCTTGAGCTCATCCTGGCAAGAAAAAAGGAGGTATCTGAGCTCCTGCTGCGTTTTCCTTAATGCAGGCCCTGAAGGAAACGATTAATGGAACATGCTTTGAGGATAGAACTCATGATGCAGGTCAACTTGTCTGAGTTTTAAAAATGGCTCTTCTCAAGGGGCCAAATCTATATAAAGCTGATAATTGTCAACTATTGCGTAAACTCCCAAATATTAAAACTTTTCAGCAAAGGAATCAAAAAATTGATTCTGTATCAACCTAAAGTTAACAATGTTGAACTTGAAACATAGGGCTGGTCTACACTTACCGGGTAGTTCGACGGCTGGCAATCGAAGTTCCGGGTTCAATTTATCGCGTCTGGTCTGGACGCGATAAATCGAACCAGGAAGTGCTCGCCGTCGACTGCGGTACTCCAGCTCAACGAGAGGAGTGACGGGGAGCCTGCCTGCCGCGTGTGGACCGCGTCTGAACCGCGGTAAGTTCGAAGTAAGGTATGTCGAATTCAGCTACGTTATTCACGTAGCTGAATTTGCGTACCTTACTTCGACTTGGGGGGTAAGTGTAGACCAAGCCATATTGTTTAACTTCAATAACCATATCATTAGCTGATGTAGATTACTAGCCCTGTGGACACTATTATTCCACAGTATAAGGAGCCACAATATCCACCCTTTACTCTGGAACAAAGCTTGACTTTAATAATACTGAGGTTCTAAACTGTTTTGCAAGAGAACCTTCCCTACAGGTGCCTGACATAAACCAAAGAAATACTATCTTAAAAACAGACTCAAAAAATAGTTCCTATGTGAGCGCTTTCACCGTTCATCTCAATGAAGTGTTGACTCTTAAAATCTAATAGTTAATATTGAGATCTATATCACCATTGCACTACTGATCTCCTTAGTAGACACAGCTATCAAATGCGTGACTTAACTGCTTCACATACATTCCTGGGCACCCAAACATCCAGCTTCTTCTTTTACAAGACTTAATAATGAAGTCTTCAATATAAAATTCTGCAAAAAGTTTAGTTAGACTAAAGCATTTCAGTCCTCAGGAGACGGAACTGTTGTGTGTCACAGACAGAAAACAGGATAGACTGAGGTGCTACCAGTGCCTAAAGTCCCTGTAATAGTGGGAAATTGACTTGGTGAGAGATGCCTAGATGATCCTAACAGGCAATTCATGCGGCAGAGGAAGGAAAACCCTCCACGCTCCATTTCCCAAGGTCCCTGCCAGTGTGACCTGAGGAAAAAATTGCTTCCCAATGCCAAATCTGGTGATCAGTTTGACCCTGAGCAAGACACACTGACCAGCCATCTAAGAAAAAAGGATTTGATGAACTGCTTCAGAGCACTGCTTCACCTTATCCCGTGTTCCATCTCCAGCTGTGGCTAATCTTTGATGCTTCAGAGGAAGGTGTGGGATGTGAAACAATACATCTGGCCAATTGTGCATTGAGGGGGAGGGGATTTCCTTCCTGGTGCCTGCAGGCTTTAGGGCTTCAGCCAGTAACATGAAAATTGATTATAGCCATTGTATTAATGCAAAGCTGCAAGTGTTTTGACCATGCTGAAGGCAATCTTGTTCTGCTGTGGCCCATTAAGGAAGGAGATGAGCATGGGGATTCACAGATTCCCAAGCAAGAAGAGACCAGCCTGGCATCTGACGCACACAGGTTGCTTCTACCAGAATCTGGATTACAGCATATAATTTAGAAAGTTATGTAATTTTGTTTTAAAGACTCCAAGCAATGCTGAGTCTACCATCTTCCCTGGTGAGCTGATCTGTTCCATTGTTTAATTACCCTCCCTGCTAGGAAATGCTTATTTCAGGGTTTAATTTGTCCAACTTTAAGCCACTGCCTCTTTCGCCTTTGTCAGCAAAATTGTAAAAGCCTCATCAGATCTTTTCCCTGTATAGAACCTGTACATGGTGGTCAAGCTGCATGTCAACAGTATCTTCATTAAGCTGACTAAGTTGAGCTCCTTAAGGCTCGTATGTAGAGCCCTGCAGATCTGTGAATATCCGCTTTATGTCTTCAGATATCTACGGACCATGTTTGCAGATCACAGATCAAATGCAGATACAAATTTTGTATCTGCATGGGGCTCTACTTGTACTGTAAGGCTGTTTTCCCCCTCCCCCCAGCCCCTGGATCATTTTTTGTGGTCCTCCTGTGAACTCTCCAGGATTTCCACATCTGTTTTGAGAAGTGCATCCCCTACTTCTGCTTAATAGTCCATGTGTACATCAAAAATCTCGTTAGTCCATTTTGCCACAACATTGCACTGAGAACTCATATAAAGGTCAACATAGTCAGTCACCTCAAAATCCTTCTAAATCACTGCCCAGATAGTCTTCCATTGTGTAGGTATAACCTGCATTCTTGATTTCCAGATAAAATACCTCAATTAGACTGACGGTAATAAAACATTTTGTTGAATTATAACCATTTAACTGGGTGATTCAGATCACTCTAACGGTAAATAATGAGGGCTGGTTACTATCTCAGCAATCTTTGTGATCTACAAATTGTTACCAGCAAAAATTTTAAATCATCTAGATCATTGATAAAAATTAAATAGCATTGGACCAAGAACACATTTCTAGGGGACCTGCTAGAAACAACCCTGATAATTGATACTTCCCATAGCTTCTGGTATATAGCTGCTGCACACTGGGAAATGGTGGAATGAAAGGGTAGAAATTGGAATCTAGACTGGAGCAAACTATGTGGAGGAGGGAATTTGGGGTTAACTTGAACAGCATATTCTATGGTCCTACACCAGGCTTTGAAATTAGGGCTTAGAAGAGTCTTCAAGTAACCTTAGGCCATGGGCCAATAGGTATATCATGGAAGTGAAGCAGGTACTAATATTTCCTTCATGAAGTGTAGCATTCTTGAGTAAAATTGGCATTCAATTCAAAGTTCTTGAGATCTTTCTGGATGAAAGGAACTATATACAGTATAAATATAAGGTATTTGTATGTGTTCTGAATCTATGCTGGTGGATTGTGCATTTGCTGTGTTTACACCAGTAGACTTTTAATTGTTAACCCTTTTTGCAACTGTCTGTTTGTGGAATCTAGCTCTGTTACAAATGTGCTTTTCTGCAAGCTCACTTTTTTTTTTTTTTTTAACTAGGCTTCTTATCAAATTAATGAAGACTAAAGTAGCAACAGCTCAAATAAATATTAATGCATGTCAATGATGCATTTACAGAGATCATAACTACGTTTAGCTTTGTGATAATGGGTTTCTTTTGTACAAGTTAAGGTGATAGTCTTGTTGCATCAAGAGCCCTGCAGTTTGTTAGAAACATAGGTCAATTTATTATTTGTCTTCTGCTATACTGTAACTATGCTATCCTTCCCATTATCACCTAAAAGGGTTAAAATATACAATTTGGTGTAATGCTAAGCAGCATGCTTATTTAAAAATGCATAGGAAAAAGTAAGTAAGTTTACATTTTTAAATACTTCTATCAAATTCAGATTTTGTTAATCTTGATTGGCCTGTATTGCTCAGAAGGAGCATTTTGGGTTCAGTTTAGAGTAACTGATAATGGGGGCCAATGATGTCAAACGTGTGTGCATCTCCAGTTGAAGTTGCATAACTGTATCCAGGAACAAAATCTTGGGCCTGTTTGTGGAATGTGAGCAAGGTGCCATTACCTCAAAGTTCAGCTAAACTTTTTGTAGTGGTATGGACAAGCTACGCTCACTTCCTAAAACTTATAATTGGGATGAGAATGAGAGAATTTTCAGCTAAAGTGGCTTGTGTTTTTTGTTTTGTTTTTAAGGTGGTCATGATCATGTAAAAACAGGGTTGTAAAAAATAATAATTGTAGCTTAAAGTATATATCTGTTTAAAAATGTATTCTTAGCTGTTCATTAGGGCGGTCATGGCTCTTAGCAGAGGTACCCTTTGATGCAGCTCAGCATAGAATGCTATTAGTTTTAAGAGCCAACTCTTTTTATGTTGAATGCTGAAAATTGACAGGGCAGCAAGTTATTTAGGCTTAATCTAAATCAAATTGTAAGCATGGTAAGTTCCTGTTTTACCTACTTACAGCACATTTGCCACTGACTTGTAACTGGAGATATAGTTATTAGAATTTCTGGCTCTGCAGCTTGTTCATTCAACAGTAATTGTGTGCTAAACCAATCTTAAGAAAACATTATGTGGTACTGTTATAAACTGTCAATTATGGATTAAGAATCTTAATTTAAAAAACATTCAAATAAACTAGACCTTAGTGTACTTTTTTTGTTATAAAAGTAGTTTTAACGACAGTGGTTTTTATTTATTTATTTATTTATTTATTTAATTTATTTATTTTAAAAAGCCTGTGTAATGTTCAGTGAATTCTACAATCATGACCTTCCTAGATAAATTTTATAGCCATAATCTAGGTGCTTCACACTGCAGTGTGCCTAAAAAATTAATGAATCCAAGCTGTGGAGTACTAAAGCAGGGAGAGAGTTCCAAAGTAGAGGACCCTTCAGAAAATTGAGTTAGACTCCAGCTGTAGTGACTCCATTGATTGTAACAGCAGCATCCTCGCATGAAAGCAGTGCGCCAGGTAACCAGGCTGTCATTTGTGACTTGATAAACTGAAAATACCTTGAACTCCATTCAAACTTATTAGCAGTGTATGTGACTCTGGAAATGCTAATGTAATATGCTTTCTAGGTTCTACATTCCATACTAAAGTTTCTAAAAGGTATGGTTGTAATCCCATGTAGAACACTCTAATCTAGCCTGTAGGTGACAAATTATGGGTAATTGAGCCCAGGTCTTGATCTACCAGGAACTGATCCACTCTCCTAGCCAGGGGTGGAGAGGCAGTCTTGACCACAGGCAATACCTAGGCATTCAGGAGCAATCCAGAACCTAATAGTACCCAAACTTTTGTTGAAGGTGACATGCATACTCTTCCCCCACAACCTAGTAACATTATTTCTATCTTATCTGGACTGAGCTTTGGGCAGCTTGCCCTCATGCAAACAATAAACCATTAGTTCCACTGCAATAGCTGGGTCAAATGTGTGGAAGACAGTTGAGTGTCCTCAGCAATGAGTATGCCACAAACCATCTTTCCTGTTAAACCTCCCAGTGGCTTTCTAAGCAAGAAGTAATAGAATAGACCCCAGGTGATATCCTTGAGGTTCCCTGGGACAGAGAAGCAATTGATCAGCACTGTCTGCCGGGACTTTTCTAAGAGGCATTATAGCATCTTCATCTGAATGGCCTTTAACTGTTAGATCAGTGTCATAGATCTTAAGGCCTGAAAGGGGGATCATTATGACCACCTAGTCTGATCTCCTGCATAACATGGGCTATAGAATTGCATCAAGCCCATAGCTTCTGGTATAGCTGATGCACACTGGGAAATGGTGGAATGAAAGGGTAGAAATTGGAATCTAGACTGGAGCAAACTATGTGGAGGAGGAGGGAATTTGGAGTTAACTTGAACAGCATACTCAAGAATGCTACACTTCATGCTACTGCTTCACTTCCATGATATACCTATTGGCCCATGGCCCAAGGTTACTTGAAGACTCTTCTAAGCCCTAATTTCAAGCCTGGTGTAGGACCATAGTGGGAAAGTAGGAGAGATGTGGAGGTGGGTGGGCAAATAGTAACCGATTAAACTAATCCATTCCACCTGCTATTGTCAAAGCACAACTTCAGTTCTGACTTACTTGGATCTTTCGTTGTCTTTCCATCTGACAAAATTAATCATAACACATGTTTGAAGGAGAATTAACCTTTTTATTTTTCCAGGTGTTGACTTCAAGGTGAAAACAATTTCAGTTGATGGAAATAAAGCTAAACTGGCAATATGGGTAAGTTCTGAACATAGTAAAACACCAGAGCTTTACATAGTTTATTGATTTGTATTCGTGGTGATGATTTTTATGGAAATATGCAGTTGAAGGGATTTGCCATGTTAACAGGCTTTGTTAGTAGTGGGGTGTGTGGGTTTTTGTTTTTGTTTTTGTTTTACTGGGTCATTCATGAAAACGTTACTGATGGGATTTTCCCATTTTCAGGATAGGTAACATAGCTATAGTATCAGCTCTGGTATCTGAAAGTAAAGAATGGGACTCTTCTGTAGAATTTTTATGGGAAGAGACTTTACTGTTATCAAACAAAATTTAGAAGCCAACAAGTATACAGGAGAATATGGAGTTACATTAGAAGGAAAAGTCCTTAATTTGACTACAGATAAATATTACCTGTGCCTCTTATAACATTCTACTTGAGTTTATATCACATCAGACTATACAGTTTGAGCCTGATAACTAAGCATGTTAAATTAGGTATAAAGCTTCTCACACTGAATTCACATTTCTAAAGAAAAAATCTTCTGAACTAAGACTTTACATTTTCCATACAAATACGAATACTGCATAAATTACATAGCTTGAGAATTGCCATAGTTGTGCATGTTTAATTTACATTATTAACTTTAAAGTGACAAGAATGTGGAAACACCCAGGTGAACCAAAAGGAGTTTGCCTGCTAAGGTCTGAGTTCAGGATTGCCTCTACTAACGTAGCAGCTAAAATAGAGCAAGAAGCTCTGTATCCTGCATAACTCAGTTTAAGTACTTGTGATGACCTTGACTGTTGAAGGGAAACCTCAAACCTTGAACTATGGAAAGTAAGGGAGGGAAAAGGTTTCCCAATAACTCTTAATGATATATTTGCTTTTTAATCTATAAGCAAGGCTCATGTTCTGTGGTCATAGAATCCACCTCTGGTATGGAACAACCACTGGAATTCCAGGGCTGTCAGTTGCTCTGTGCTGGCAGGCTGCTTGAAACTCTCTCACTGCTAAGCAGAGTGGAGCAATTCTGGTGATGCCTGGTCTGTCTGAGGAAAGAAGCAGAGTACAGGAGGGAGAAAAATACAAATCAGGGATACTTCCCTTGCTTTGATATCAAAAGTGCTGCATACCTCAAGTACCAAACTGTAGGCTCTGAGTTAGGCACTTACAGTCAGATCTCCAAACACATCCTTGATCAAGTAAAGCAGAGTGGATATGATGGCTGAGGGTATGTCTTCACTACCGGCCGGATTGGCAGGCAGCAATCAATCCCCGAGCACTCTCCCATCGACTCCTGTACTCCAGCTTGACAAGAGGTGCAGGCAGAGTCGATGGGGGAGCGGCAGCAGTCGACTCACCGTAGTGAAGACACCGTGGTAAGTAGATCTAAGTACGCTGACTTCAGCTACGTTATTCACGTAGCTGAAGTTACGTAACTTAGATTGTTCTCCCCCCGCAGTGTAGACCAGGCCTGAGAAAATGGACACAGCTGAATAAGGGCCTCATAAGCATATGAGAAGGAATAGGAGCCAAAGGAACATTTCCTCTCTGAGGTAGGAGTCACAGAGCAGCAGAACTCTTTCCTGGGAGGAAGAAAATGAGCCAGATAGGACACCTGCATACTCTTTCCTGAAGAGACAGGTTGAATCCTTCGTGGAGAGAATCCTACTCAAAGGGAAAGATAACTTCTCTTTTCTTTTTTATGCCCTGCATCTCCAAAACACAAACCTGAGTTATAAAACTGCTGGCTTTCTCTGTGACCACTGCAGTCACTCATGGTCCATGCTAAACTCAGGAATGCAGCATAAAACATGTTCATTAAGTGCTAGGAAGATTGCTGATTTCTGTATACCTACGTACAGTGGTACGGTCTCCATGCCAGTATAGAAAACCACAGTGGTGTCTGGTAGGGAAACAGGCTGGTGGAGGGGCCAGCCTCCACCATTCTGCATTTCTGTGGTTCAAGTATCAGAGGGGTAGCCGTGTTAGTCTGAATCTGTAAAAAGCAACAGAGGGTCCTGTGGCACCTTTAAGACTAACAGAAGTATTGGAGCATAAGCTTTCGTGGGTGAATGCCCACTTCATCAGATGCAAGTAATGGAAATTTCCAGAGGCAGGTATAAATCAGTATGGAGATAACGAGGTTAATTCAATCAGGGAAGGTGAGGTGCTCTGCTAGCAGTTGAGGTGTGAACACCAAGGGAAGAGAAACTGCTTCTGTAGTTGGATAGCCATTCACAGTCTTTGTTTAATCCTGATCTGATGGTGTCAAATTTGCAAATGAACTGGAGCTCAGCAGTTTCTCTTTGGAGTCTGGTCCTGAAGTTTTTTTGCTGTAAGATGGCTACCTTTACATCTGCTATTGTGTGGCCAGGGAGGTTGAAGTGTTCTCCTACAGGTTTTTGTACATTGCCATTCCTGATAGCTACAACATCACCGGCTCATTCACCTGCACATCCACCAATGTTATATATGCCATCATGTGCCAGCAATGCCCCTCTGCTATGTACATTGGCCAAACTGGACAGTCACTACGCAAGAGGATAAATGGACACAAGTCAGATATCATTACTTGTGTCTGATGAAGTGGGCATTCACCCACGAAAGCTTATGCTCCAATACTTCTGTTAGTCTTAAAGGTGCCACAGGACCCTCTGTTGCTTCTGTGGTTCAAGTGGCCTGGAGAAGCAGTACTATTACAGCCCTGGATAACAGTCCCTGGGTGTAGACTGGTGAGAGGCGTTTGCAAAGGAATCCTGTGCTCTGGCTCTAGTTTGAGATGTGGGTGGGGTAGACTTTTTTTCTCTTCACCGAAGTGTTCTGTACTCCACTCACAAAGAGCTTGAATATTCAGGATCTATGGTGGTGGAGTAAATTTTGAACCTGAATGAAAAGCGTTGCTGATATCTTAGTTATTGGAATGACTGCTCTTTTGGAGGTAAATTGGGTGGCATTTAGTTTTTGTTTGTAAGCAATATGCTTCTAAACTGGGACAGAGTTTGAGTAAATGAGCTTCTCTGTTTCTGATGCCTGCATATTCTCATGATCTGTGGTGCTTATAGTTCAGTGTAGTTTCAAGGATCTACAACAAAGTATATGTAATCAGCATTTTAATACTTGGTCTCTGCAGACCCATTCGTCCTTTTAGTTCATAAAGTCCTAAGATATAAATCTGATTTCACAAGCTACTTCAGTTTAAGAAGAAACGTGATCAGTTTTTTGGTACTTCTGCTACAGCTTGGTTTGCCCTAATTTTCTGTGGTTTGAAGCTAATTATCAAATACTGGCAGTGAAAAGCCATATATCTTGTCTTGTTATCACAAGACTTTGCAGTGTTTTGCAAACCTAAAATGTTCACTTAGAAACAAGTAAAGCTGTTGCACTGGTGTCTCACTTATCTGCTAGCTGTAGAGCAGCAATAGCATCAGTGGAAATGTGAGTGCCCTATATCATTGTAGAGTGGCTTATTTTACTTAAATGCTAAGACTTTAAAAGCCACTTCCTGAAGCAAAATTCTTATCAACTCTGCATCTAATCTTAATTGTATTTCATCTAAAGGTAATTAAACTTGATTCCTTTGGTGATGCTATATTCCATGATTGTTCTGAAGTTTCTTTTTTATCATGTTAATTAGATCTTGCAGATGCTGTACTTTCTTTCAGTAGCACATAGAGTAGATTATTTTGTGCAAGTACAGTAATGGAAAACGTTCTGAATATTTTTAGGATACTGCAGGTCAGGAGCGGTTCAGAACATTAACGCCCAGCTATTATAGAGGAGCACAGGGTGTTATCCTAGGTAAGTATGCTACTCAACGTACCACTTTAAAACCTTTGATTTTTTTTTTTCTAGTTTTACGAAAAAGTTAAAGACCAACTAATTCTTCTCCAACTACATTTGGCTGTTTAATACTGAAATTCTTGGCTTCTAGTTAGATACTCCCAATTACTGGAGTATCTATCTCAGCATCTTGAGCATCTCTTTCTGACAGGAAACCACCTCCCTTCTTTCCAAAAGAAATCCATCACAGCTTGTATACACAGCGCCACAGTTCTGACTACAGGGATGTGAAATGTAGAGCACACTGAAATGTTGTGCTCTTACTATCCCATATAAACTGCTGGCACATACTAAAAGTTACCAACAATACACACTCCTCCATAATCAGGACAAACAGTGCCATGTAGACAAGTCTTAATGTTTTATTTAACTAAAATATATCCTCCATTGTGCTCCCAACATTGATGACCTTTTTATCACACCCCCAATGTCATTTGGAAAAGACTGTGGTTTAAATTAAGAAGTCTATGCTTCAGAAGGAAAAGAGAACTGGGTCAAAAAACCTTACTTCTTGCATCTGCCCTCTGAAGATAACTATTGCTTTGCTTTTGGGTATTTGCCTCACTGTGTGTTGGAAGCCTCCTTACTAGGCACTTGGAGCGCAATGTCTGTTTCGCTATTGCTGGAGTTGAGCAGTGGACAAGAAATCCAGGGGCAAAAATAATTTTGGTGATTGTTAGCCTTAAATACAAAGCACCTTGGCTCTAAGAGGATTCTCAGCCTCATTCGTGTCCTATTGTATATGCAATAACTTGAAAATATGCTGATATGTCTGTCTACAAATCTTTTTAAAAATAATTCAGATTTTGAATGTCTGCAATCACTTAATAGTTGCAATAAATTATTTGGAAATGTCTTTAAAATAATATGTTAAATCAGGTTAGTGACCATTGGCAATATTTTTCAGTTTATGATGTCACAAGAAGAGACACCTTTGTCAAACTGGACAATTGGCTAAATGAATTGGAGACATACTGCACAAGGAATGACATAGTTAAAATGTTAGTTGGAAACAAGATTGATAAGGTAAGCAGACTTGGAAAAATTACCTTCAGTAGTTTATACTTATACATCTGTCACAGCATGTAATATACTATTTCTTCTTGCAGGAAAACCGTGCAGTTGACAGGAATGAAGGTCTCAAATTTGCAAGAAAACATTCCATGTTGTTCATAGGTATGCTCTTGAAGATGTATGTAAAGCCTACATGATATTTTAAGTTACCATTATGTAAAAAATAAAACTGTGGTTAGATTCCATTTTTACAGAATTGCCAAGGTGAAAATTTTCACCTTATCAGCTAAGTAATGTAATAGTACCTTTCAGCTGCATTGTTTAAGTGCTTTACAAAATTAACTTAAGCCTCAACATCCTCAAGATAGGTTTTCCCATCTTGTTTAGACTGGTCTTAAAATGAGTCTAGCCAAATTTCTAGACTCATGGCAGATGAAACTACCTGACTGGAGCTGGAGTCATTCTTTTCAATCTGTACACTTCCAGTGCATCCATCACCTTAGTATCTAAATGCTGTGGTCAAAATAAAGGCTGTTTTATGTTCCTAATACCATTCTCTATTCCACTCTCCCATATTAAGAAACCTCTCTAAGTGGGATTAAATTTGGTGGTGTCTAGTAGAAACCTCACTCACTGTGACTACTCTAATGACTGGACCATATATCCTGCTAACTCAGTACCACTAGCTTATTACAAGACTTGTCTTATGTCAGTACAAGGCTGTGCTGTAAAGTATAATAGACCCTTTAACATTGCTAGACTTGCAAGTTAAAAAAAAAAAAAAAAACTTGAACATGCCAATTGTTAGAATAATATTTCACATAGCATGTCAAAGCTCATATCTGTCTGTAGAGAGTAAAAGTCATCTTACTGCCTTAAATACTAGGACTTGCTGTTCATCTGTGACTATTTTCCCTTCTGTACCAAAAGTGTAGGATGCATGTTGAGACTAACACCTGTTGGTTCTCTCCAGTTAAAGTAAGAAGATGGTGAAAGATACATTAATGCTTGCTTGACTTCTTAAATCTCTCTTCCCCCAGAGGCAAGTGCAAAAACATGTGATGGTGTACAGTGTGCCTTTGAAGAACTTGTTGAAAAAATCATTCAGACTCCTGGACTGTGGGAAAGTGAGAGCCAAAACCGAGGCGTAAAGTTATCAAACCAGGAAGAAGGCTATGGAGGAAGAGCCTGTGGTGGATACTGCTCTATGTTATAAACTCTGGGAAGGTTATCCTCTTGCATATTTAAACAGATAGCGTCACCTTTCTGTAAATTCATTAACTGCTATTTTTAGGGACCTTGCAGTTTGCACATATTTGTTTTGTATCATGGCGGTGAACATTTGTAGGAAAACGTGCTCAGCAGCTTTCCCAGTTGAAAAATGTTATGGTAAGCATGCCCAACTTGCAATCTTCAGGTTTTTTATATGTAGCATAAAATAGTGTGCAAGAACAAATGCACTCAAATTTTATGACCTTATACATTTATCATGTAACTACTCTTTAAAAAATATCCATCTAACAAATATACATTGCTGCATTCTGTCTGCTTTTTGTCTGGATTTTTTTTGTTTAAGTACTGTTGGAATTCTAGAATTGCTTTATATGCACACATCCTAAAAACGATGCAAGATAAAATGTGATATCTTTTACTGATAAATGCTTGTCCTTGTTGGTACTGTATAACATAAACAGCATGATTACACAATTCTTACAGACAAGTCTGTTACAAATTCTTTTTCATTAAGCAGAGCTATCTAAACTATGGCCTCTACCAGTTTATAGTTAATCTGAACAGTTTTTGAAGAGATTTCTAAAATTTCCTTTGAGAAGTTGAGCAAACACAGTAGGGGATTTTTTTAAAAAATCATCACATCAGTTGATAACTTGATTGCTTAACTGGCATCTTAATCCTGTCATATTTATATACTAAATTTATGACATTCTTGCACAGTAGTCTTTACGATGCTGCCCACCATAGTCCTGCTGTAGAGTCTCTCTTAATTTTTTTTTTTTTGGCCAAGGATTTGAATGGTGTCTTTTTTTATTCTTTCTTTGTGAATCAGCTTGCCACACTTAAGTACAGATGCTCTTTTCCTAAACATTGGTAATGTACATGTAGCTCACTTATGGCTATGAAGGTCTATATCACATAACTGCTTTGTGTGGCTATTTGTTCAGAAACATAATTTCCTTTCAGACACTAAATATGGGGAAAGTCACACTGCTTTTGGATCTCTGAGGAAAATACTATTGCAATGAGTATTTCACTTGGGTTTACTGTAAACAGCCAATGGTTTATCTGTTTCAGAAGACTTGCCTGTATAGACTAATAAATTTTTTCCACAGTATTCAACTTTTCTATCCTCTTCCTATTGTACAGTTGTATATTTTCTAGTACACTTTTTGTGGAGGGATTATTTCTGGTGCATTAAAGCAAAGACAAGCCTAGACACATCCTTCTTAATTAATCAGGTAACTGATCTCCATATTGGAACAAACCACTAAGCAGTTTCTTGTAAATATACATTAAGATACCTTTTTAATACTGCATTTTCTGTAGATGTCAGCAATCCATCATCGTAAGTCTGTATTTTGCAGCCAATTGGATTGTTTCTGGTTAAGTACACTTTTCATCTATGGAAACCTTGCTTTCTACTCTTACACTTGGTAGAAAACATTACCAAAATTTGAAGACTTAAATATACTAGCTGTTTTTACCAAATATTGTATCTTAAGTACTATTACTGTAAGTAGGATCATTTAAATATGTAAATGTAATCAATAATTTAATACACTTCCATGTTGCATTAAAGCTTTAGATGTGTCTTCCTGTGTCTTGATACAGCATACGTTTGCTAACCCAGTTATTCATCAGTGGTGAGGTTGTCCTGGCTCTATGCTTTGAATGCTTGATTAGGGTAGGTACCCATTTACAAAAATATTGACATAAAACCTCAGCTGCTGAAATGCAGCTTTCTGATAAATGATACTAATTATTTAACTTTTAGCTAGTTGTCAGTTTCAGGGCTAGCTGCATCTCTGTCCTGTCTAGGCCGAGTGCATCCCCTCAGGTTTCAGGCATTGTACCTTTTTACATTCCACCATAGAATTCTGCCACTTAAACTGACCCCTGGACTACAGTACCCTGTATAGCAACTGTTACCCTGCAGGTCTGACTGCCTTTGGGAGGCTGTGACCAACAGGATATAGTGATCAGCCGCTTTCTGAAAATTATTTTTATTTTCCAGTTTAAAAAAAAAAAAAAAACCATTAAAGGAAAGATTTTAAACTGGTCTGCAGGCACGTATACCTTACCATCCCCTGCTAACTTCGACAGGCCTAACTTCTTCAGCCACCCTCTCAGTGGGGTCCTATGTTTCAGTGCAGTTTTGAACAGCAATAATTAACTCCCAACACAAACACACATTTAAGTGCTGATTTTTAACCCTGCTATAGTCCTTTGGATCTTCTGTGCCTATTTGCTGAAGGGTGACTTATTTTAAGCCATTCTTTCCCTTCCTCATTTTTCCTAACAGCCCTCTGTTAAACTACACCGACATTCATGCACTAAATTTCTCAATAACCTGGACAACATACTGTACCATCTAGTACAGAGCCGCTCCAAATCCTTAGTACCAGTTAACTGACTCAAGAAATCCCACTAGATCTTGCTTACATTGTCTGTAGGAGGGGTGTTAGGCAAAATCAATTTGCAAAATGAAGGATTGTGCCTAAGCTACAATGCTAACTCAATCTATACTTCATGCTTGTGGGAGCTCTTGGATAAACTGTGTCCAGCAGCAACTGCTGAAATGTGTAGGATCTGTGAAGTTTGTAGATGGAGTTTAGTATGTGGTGGTGAGGAGATAAAGGGGGCAACATAAGTCTTAATTTAGAATGGACTCGCTTTGCACTCTTGGGAGGGTGTGCTTGAACTAGTCTCCCCACTCCATAAGCTGGGAATTTCAGTTGCCTCAACTAATGGGAGTTCTCTGTTGTGCTGTGAATTACGCAGAGGTTGGGGACTCCAGCAATACCCAGTAGAGCTATTCTGGGCAGGAAACCACAGTAACTGGGCTCCCTTGTCTTACAGAACTCAGTACAATTGCTATAAAATTGTCTGTGGTGGACTGTCTTAGTGACCGGATTAGACAGCCATGTGCCTAGGTTATTGCTCTCTTCAGAATTTGGCCTACTTATGTAGGACATCCAATAAACACTGAAGAAAGTGCAAGTCACCACTTGTGACTGTTTTATGGTCTCCTTTGTGACCTGAAAGGCTGCCTGAATCTTCCAGTAAAAAGACTGCACTAAGGAAGGATTAGAAGTCTACCTCCCACCTTAAAACTTGCTATAGTCTGACCAATATGCAAGAAATAGATTCTTGGTGCTACATACTTCACACTACTATCTGTCCGTATTTTCCATTTCTGAGCAAAGTCATGGAAGTTCACATATTCTCCAAGGCAGCCAGAAAATGGTCCGGCAAGGCTCTAGACCAGGCCGTGGCACAATTGTTTTGTATATTAGTGGAAGACAACTGTCGTTGAAAACTGCTTAATACTTGCTCATTCTACTGGATGTCTGCAGAATTTCAGTCTTCTATTTCTTTTGCCACTGGATACTGCTAAGAATATGTGGAGATGATTCAAATCCTTCCTCTCAGACCGGCAGAAGGTTGAGATGGGCAGTTACACCACTACTTTAAAGTTTCCATTTGTGAAATACCACAAAGCTTCATTCTTTCATAAGATTCAACCTTTCTACCATAACCTCCTGTGGGAGATTGAAAGCATATCTTGCAATGTTTCTATTGGTGGGGCTTAGCAGCCCATGAGGGAAGTGAGTCTCAGAGCCCATGCTCCAGCCTGAGTGGGAACCTTTTACATTGTAATTTTATAGCACTGCAGTCCAAGCCCCATGAGACTGAGTCAACTTACCTGAGCTCTGAGACTGTGCTGCAGGGTTTTTTAACTCAGTGTAGACGTACCCGTAGCAATGGTGACTGCATCAGTGCTGAATAAGAGAGTGTTGTCTGCATATTGTTGGCAGCTGAGTCCATAGCATCTTGCAGTATTTCCCAGTGGTCTCATGTAGATATTGAAGAGGGGATCACTGTGGGATCATGCTGGTGATGGCCTGCAGAGACAAGAAGCAATTACCCATCACCACTTGAGTTGTGCTGGAGAAGAATGATTAAAACCACTGCAGTGCTGGGCCATCTTCTATTGTTTGATGTAAGCAGGTTAACTTTTGTGTTTTATTGTGTCAAAAGCTGAAGAGAGGTTCAGCATTATGAGTGTGGAGATTTTGCCTGTGTTCACTGAAGTGCTTCTCTAGGACCATTAGTGCTGTCTCTGCATTGTGCCCTGTTCTGAACCCTGATTTGTGAGACATCCAGGATGTTGGCTGATGTCACATGTTGGAGTTTGCTGGCTTCTATTTTCTCAATTGTTTTGTCCAGGAATGGGACGTTGCAGGTGAGATGGTAATTGGACAGGTCTTTCAAGATCAAATGATGGTTTCTTGAGGGTTGATCAAACTATTGCATTTGGGTAAGGGTTCTTCCCTGAAAAAGGCATTGAAAACTTCTATTAATAGTGAGCGTAGTTGTTCACTGGCTTTTACCAGTGTCGGAGAGGTATGGATTTGTTTCCCAGGTTGTGGCACTAATATTTTTCAGGGTTCCTTGAATTTTGGCACTTGTGTTGGGGTGGGGCAGCTCAATCAAGGGTGATGGGGTGAATAATACAATGGGGTTGAGTTTTCTTTCCCAGTTAAGATCAAATGTATACACATGGAACTATCAAAGTGTGCTGATAGTTTTTTCACAGCGGTTGATACTTGGGTTGGATTTCTGGGCTGTGCAGTTTAGGATGATGAGCTAGTTCACTGTGCTAGCTGTGAGTCTGCTGCATTGACTGTGGGGGAGTAAAAGGTTCATTTTTCCTCCTTTACTAGAGTGGCATAGGTCTGGAAGAGTTGTTTATGCTACTGGTAGATGCATTCAGAATTTTTGTGCCACTGGTGTTGTGACTTTCTGCCTGTGCGCTTCATCTGCCATAGCTCATCTATGACCCCTGGTGATCCTCTAGGTCAGTGTGGAGCAGGGCTTTGGAGCGGAGCCCAGATCTGGAGCGCGGAGCAGCTCTGGGGCAGTGGAGCTGCAGGTTTTGCCTGGAACTGGAGTGGAGCCAGAGCACAGCTCCAAAGCCCTGGTGTGGAGGGAGTGGGCAGCTTGATGCCAAGATGTCTATGGTAGTGGACATTAGGTGATTGTACTGTTTGCATTAACTCATCAGCACCTTGGCCTTGTATTCAGGTAACTGCTTTCCCATGGTTAATTGAAAACCTAGAGGGCTCCAGAGCTTTCATGGGTGGACCATGGCTGTATCGTCGTATTGGTAGATTACACCAATACAACTCCCAAAGTAGAGGCTCATCTTGAGGATCCCCCAGTAAGTCTATTCCAGTGGATTCTACAAATGTTAAAGAATCTATACCCAGCAGAAAGAGACTATCAAGCATCTCATGGGGAATGTTG